TATAAAGTAATTTCAGGCCAGAAATTATTTTTTTAAGTAATTCTCAAGGTCTGAGGAAAAGTTATGGAACATATTTATCCCTTTTTGGGCTATCAGTGCCTACCCTTCCTACCAGCATCCCCATCTTCCTTTTGAAGTAAATACATAATACATTGGTGGGGAGAGGTGGAGTGGGTGGTTCTAAGTACCTGTTTCCTACTGCTTTCTCCCTCTATGGAAGCTGCGTGTACCTGCTCTCTGGTACAGCTAGGGGAAGATACATGGTCCAATACGCTGGACCAATTGCATATCACTCTTGAAATTTGGAAAATAATGAAAATAACCCTCTAATAAATTCCTTTTTTGCTTAAGATAGCCCAGAATCAGTTGCTGCTGTTTGGAACAAAGACTTGGCAAATGCAGAGATCAACAGAAAATGCAAACGAGTTTTTACACATCCTACTTCCAAAGGCTTTTTAGAATAACTAAAAGGCACTCAGCCATTAAAGCCAAATGAACAGATTGTTATTTTTAAACACAGGCAATTTATGTATATGGAGTGTGTCTGCGTGAATACACACACACCCTCCACACTGCTCTGAGTGGATTCAATATAAATACATACCTGAGTTGTGCAACGTGCAAGTCAATGTAGAAACCAAGCAAAGATTAAATTCACTATCAAATTGCAGCTATTTCTATGAGCATATTTCTTTTTTTCTTTTTTCTTTTTTTTCATTGTGGTGGGTTCTATGGAGGGATTATGCTTTTTAGGAACTTAGCTTCTGTTGAGAAGATGACTAACACAGACATTTCCTGATACAAAACTGAGAAAACCTCTTGCAAAGCTAAGCAAACATAGCTAGTAAGTTCCTTTTGTAAAAAACTATTCCTCTGAGGGGCGCTTGGGTGGCTCAGTTGTTAAGCGTCTGCCTTCGGCTCAGGTCATGATCCCAGGGTCCTGGGATCAAGCCCCGCATCGGGCTCCCTACTCCACGGGAAGCCTGCTTCTCCCTCTCCCACTCCCCCTGCTTGTGTTTCCTCTCGCTGTGTCTCTCTCTGTCAAATAAATAAAATCTTTAAAATAAATTTAAAAAAAGTAAACTATTCCTCTGAGATTTTCCATTGTTCCTCTGTTCCAATCATAGCATCTATTAAGTGGTATTGTAGTCCTCAACTTTTTGGTAGTACAGGATATTTTTTGGTAGTATAGGAAGGGCATCCCTTCATCTTTACTGGCAGGTGATTATTTCTCCTAACTTGACCTATAAAATGTACAGAGGCAGGGACGCCTGGGTGGCTTAGTCAGTTAAGCGTCCAACCCTTGATTTTGGCTCAGGTCATGACATCAGGGTCATGGGATCGAGCCCCGCATCAGGCCTCCATGCTGGGCATGTAGCCTGTTTAAGATTCTCTCTCTCCCTAAGAAACAAAACAAAACAAAAAATAAAAGAACACGTAAGCAGGCAACTGGAGAAGCTCAGACATGATGAAACTGAACTTAGAATATAGACTTAAGGGATGCCAAATGTAAAGCAGAAGAGTGCATCCCTGGCGTAGGTAAAATCTTCTGAAAGCTTGTTTTATTTTTAAAGTTCCTAAGCTTTCTAAAAACCACGGCAGTAATATACATTTAGTTTTAAGATAGTATTTTGAAGTACTTTGCCGGGATCTTATTAAACCGTCGTTTTATAGATAGGGAAAGTCAGATCCAGAGTTTAAAGGGATGTATTTGAAGTCATGTAAGATAAGAATGACCATACCACCACTCCTGAGAGTTCTTGGCCCAAATGGGATTTAGTTTGAATTAGAAATTCTTATACTGATGGTTCGTTAAGCATTTGCATTCAGCTCCGGTTGTGGTCCCAGGGTCCTGAGACCAAGCCCCACCTCAGGCTCCCTGCTCAGCAGGGAGTCTTCTCCCTCACCCTCTGCCCCACACCACCCCCTGCACCCCACCCTCGCTAGTACTCTATCGCTCCTGCTCTCTGTCAAATCTTTAAAAAATTCTATACTAATAAAATTTGTGCATCAAGATGAGAAACCATTAAAACAATAAGGGCTGAAGCATTTTTCCAAGATTTTTATTTACCATTTACTACATTTAACTTTTTGAATAAAAATTGGAGGGAAACCCATGAACTATTTTATTCTCCATTTTGCATGATCATAATATAATGGTACTTGCCTGCCTTCTCTACCACACTCAAGATTAATCCTTGTGGGCGCCTGGGTGGCTCAGTTGGTTAAGCGACTGCCTTCGGCTCAGGTCATGATCCTGGAGTCCCGGGATCGAGTCCCACATCGGGCTCCCTGCTCAGCAGGGAGTCTGCTTCTCCCTCTGACCCTCTTCCCACTCATGCTCTCTATCTCTCATTCTCTCTCTCAAATAAATAAATAAAATCTTTAAAAAAAAAAAGATTAATCCTTGTAGACTCTTTTCTCTGTAACAGCTTCTCTCTTTTTGGTTTAAATTGCAATCAAGGCAGAATAACAGGTGAGTTGAGAAGCTAATTTACATCTCTGAGGTTTTCTATATAAACCTTAATAGTCCTCTCATCAAGTTTGCTTTCCTTTGGGAATTTTGTCAGAACCACGAGTTTATTCCCCAGATGTGCAATTTGGGAAGATTAACCTGGCAGAGGTAAACAGACTAGATTAGGAAAAGTGATCATAATAATCATAATGAGGATATTGTAGTTAATCAGGCAAGCTACAGTAGGATCTTGGGTTAGGATAGTGGCAGTGACAACAGAATAGAAAGGAGACAGGTACAAGAGACTGTGAGGAAAGAAGGGATACGATGTGGTAGCCGACTGGCTGTGGGTGAGAAGAGGAAGGAATCAAAGATGCCTTAAGTTCTAAGCTTCAGATAGTCCTGGGTCTAATCCCAAGTTTGACTCTTACTAGCTACGGCCACACCCGCTTACTACTTACACACATGTTTTGTGATTTTGATAACCTATCTAAGCCCCAATTTCCTCCTCTCTAAAACAGAGATAACAACACCTTCCAAAGAAGGCTGATAGCAAAGACTGAAATAAAATGTGTGGTGCCTCGTACAAAGTAAGCACTAGATGGTGCCAGTCATTATTAGTGGGGAATAACAACAAAAGGTTAAAAACAGGAGCCTGGAGTGAGGAGTTTTGATGTGACACAGTCATCCGACCACACATAACTCCCACCCAGAGAAAGGGGTGTTGGGAGTTTTAAAATTCTCCCCTCTGGAGGGTTTTTAACTAATAGTTTTAACTAACAGAGAATAATCACCCATGTAGATCCCTGATACGAATGGATAGCAGAGGGGTTTGGGCTAGAAGCCCAGGTGAGTCAGGTTCTTCCTGTTTTATCTCCCTTAAGATGGCTGGGTTAGTAAAGCAAAAAACAAACAAAAACCAAAACAAAAAAAATAATTTTGTAGAGAAGTGACAAAAGAAAAAGGGGTTTAGGCTTTCAGGGATGGCTAACTTGTGGTGAGGTAGACGTATGGGGGAAACTAAAGGAAGGTAAGGCTTCTTTTAGTAAGGTTTGTGGGTGGTTGAGAGTCTAAGTGTCGCCCTCTTCTTGGTAAGGGAGAGGGCGACACCTTTACAAATGGAAATTTATGCCCCGCTTTTTAGACAAATGGTGGCAGCGAGGAGGGCAGGCAGGGATCTTAAAAACTTTAAGCTTCTGCTGTTTCTCAACTACCTTCCGCTCAAAATAATCCTTATGTCAAAGTGGCATATTTTGGGGTGGCATATTCTGATCCCCTACAAAAACTTAATTATGGCTTCTTCCCAGAGGAGGAAAGAAGGGATTTCCTGGGTGCGCTTACCTCAAAGACTAGAAACAGTGAGGCCTGGGTTCTTTACCTTAAATCACAGTGGCCCTTAACATTAGCAAAATGCGGCCGATGAGCGTCCTCATTTCTGTCCAATCGGGTAGAAGGTAGGAAAGGTGATGTGCAAAGAGACGAAGGGATGCTTTTCTTGGCAGCGACTACCACACCTAGCCCAGTGCCACGTAGTGCGGCCGCTGCAGAAAGCGCGCTTAGCGACGCTCCCGCAGGACCCCAGGCGGCCTCGCAGGTATTTTCCCTGGAATGTTGGCCCTCTCCCAGATCCTGCCTCCGGGTGGAGTTGGGGTAGGTCTGGCGGGCGGCGTCCTTTGCTTTCCTCCTCCCAAGGAGCTCTGAACCACGTTTATAGGATGTTTAATGGACTACAATAAAACAGCTAATAATTCCCGCTCACGGAAGCAGGGAGTCCCTAGCTCAACCGACGCTGACTTCGCCTCCTGTGAGGAAGCCACTCAGTCAAGAGGGCGCGGCTGCCGGAAGGCGCCTGCGCCATGGGGTCGCGCCAAAGCCGCGAAGGTGGGCGGAAACCATAGAAACACTGCGAGACGATTGTTACGCCGTGCGCGATGACGTTTGGGGAGCGCCCCCAGCGCCGGATTATGATGCAATCAGCGGCGCGGGCTCCGCGGTCTCGCGTGACCGCGGGCGCAGCCGCCTGGCCTCCAAACAGCAGCAACGGCAGAGGCAGGCGGGCGAGGTCAAGATGGTGGCTCCGCGGGCGGGGGAAGTGTTGGAGGGAGGAGGAGCCAGACCTTAGCCGACCGGAAACACCGACACCCAGAGGCCTCCCGGGAGCCGCCGCCGCTGCCTCCGCCGCCTGCTCCAGCTCAAGAGAGGCGAGCGGGCGGCGGGGCGGGACGTAAGAGAGCAGAGGGGGGAGGGCGGGGGCGGAGTCGCCCGCCTTAGCCCCCGCCCCTGGCCGCGGTCCCGGGCCCTGCCCCGCGCGGCCCTGCCCGGCTCGCCCAGCCCCGGTGTGGCAGCGGCTCATGGCGGCGGTGGGGCCCCCGCAGCAGCAGGTGCGGATGGCCCATCAGCAGGTCTGGGCGGCGCTCGAGGTGGCGCTCCGGGTGCCCTGCCTCTACATCATCGACGCCATCTTCAACTCCTACTACGATTCCAGCCAAAGCCGGTTCTGCATCGGGCTCCAGATCTTCCTCCGGCTCCTTGGTAAGGGGAACGGGGTAGCTTGCGTCCCGGATGGCTTTGAGGGCCGAAACGTGCTTTAGGGAGCGGGCACGGTGCGCAAGCTGTGGATAGTGTGTGTATGTGTATTTGAGAACCAGTTTCTTCGCCAATAGGGGCGTCTTTGCAGGTTGGGAAGGGGGGAAGAGATGACACTTAACCTCAGAGTTGACAGCGGAGCGGTCCTCCTAAAGAGTCAGCCCTCTTTCATTTTTGCACCCGAGGGTGGGGAGAAAGCATGGATGTGTGAGCATGCGGCTCTTTGCCTGCTGTTTCCCTTGGGAAATGAGTGCTGGCTTGCCGCGTCTTATGCGACAGCCTTAGAAAAATAGCAACTATTTGCCCCGGTCTCGCCGTGTGACCTTGGACTTGTAGTGCCAAAACCTGGGCCTCAGTTTCCCCCTTTTCCAAGTGGAGAGTACTCGTATGTTGTCACTTCTGTATTCACGGGGTCCACATGATCGTGAAGTGTCTGCGGTAAAGGACATCCAAAAGAGACAGGGTTTTGAATGTCAGACCTTGAAACCATTGCTAAAAATGCTCATGAAGAAGGTGATGCTTGTAACGAGTCCTAAAATTTTCCATGAATAGAGAAGTATTGAAAATGGCTATAAAAACATGGCTAGAAAGTCCTGAGACTTTTCCAAAAGAGACTTCTGAAAATCAGTGTCCTTGTTGTATATGAATGGAGTGTTAAAAATATCTTGTTTCACTCCCCATCTTCACTTGCATTACCAGAGTGAGAAGCATTTATGCATAAAAGAATTTTTTAAAGTAATTGAAACTTGGCAAATTTTGTTGATGAGGTAATTCTTGTGATCAGTTTTTAGTAGGCTTGTGATTTTGAAGTTTGATGATGAGCTCCTTAACCAAGCCTTTCTGAATTAGGAGCCATCTGTTGCTTCTTTATCTCCCCCCCCCCCCCGCCAAAATTTTGAGTTTTGTTATTAGCAATAAATAACATTTTGTTTGGTACTTTACTTTTGTAAAGCATAAACGTCCCTCAGAGGTGGATTGTGTCATTCTCATTTTTTTAAATGACGAAACTGAGGGGCATAGAGGTTTAGTGTGTTTTGCTTTTGATATACAGCAATTAAGTGGTTGTCAGGGCCTAGGCTTAAAAATCTTCTGACATCAAGTGTGGTTCACTTTCAGCTGCTATCCAGATACAGAATGATATAGTAATGATCATATGCTAGATCTTTAACAGATGTGAAAGTGATGTTCTTTAGCACAAGATTTCTCAGTAACACACAAGCTATTTAATTCCAGTCATTCCTACTTATCACTGCGAAAGTGTAATGCCCTCATTATTTGTAGCAAAAGTGGAGCTGTATGATTTCACAGCCTATACAAATATGGAATCATTATGTTCGACATAATATGTGTCAGTTACACCTCAGCTTAAAAAGAAAGCATTCACTAGTTTTAATCTTTCATACTTAATGTATTTTGCTTAATTTTGGTAATCATGGGTAAAGTGATTTCAGTTAAATAACGTTAAAGTAAAATTAATAAGGGGGACCTGTTGGGAAGGCATTTTATTTCTGCCAGTTAGAAACCACTCATCATGATCATAAATTAACAGGCAGTTCCTTATCTCAGTATAGTTGCTTAGGGGTTCCAGCTGAGCCTGACAAGCTGCCAACCCTCTTTCCCCGCCATACCTACCCACATTTGTTGATGATATATGCATGCAGGCAAGATCTATGCCAATTCTTGGTATGGAGAGAAACGGAGAAAAATTATCATTTCTATTCCTTAACTCCACAGGATGGGAGAGAGCTTGCTAGAGAGAGAACAGAAGCTAACAGACTTCTAGGGAACTTTATCAATTTTGGGAATAACCCAAGTGCTGCTTTGGAAACTAACCGAATATAACATAGACAAAGGGGATGGGGGGATGACTTTCCTTCTGTTTTGAGAGGAAGTCATGATGGAGGAAAAAAAAAAAAAAAAAAAAAAAAGTAAAAAACCCCAAAAACAAAACAGCTGTGTTTGAGAGGATTCATGTATTCATTGGCAAATAGTGTAGCCACAGCCTTGAATGTTCTTTTGGCCTGTGACTACATATCCTCTGACAATCCCTTTGTGACCAGGTGCTTTAATGCAGTGCTCTCAGAGTTGAGCTTTAGGCTAAGGAGCTTTAAGGAAAAGGGAGTATTTTCCTTGTTAAGTCATTTGTAGTTTAAGAACACTAAACAGTAATTTTGGTATTTTCCTTGTCATTCATGCTTATTTTTGTAGTAAATCATGGAAGTTTGTATTTGACAAGTTAAGTAGAATGTGATCTCAGGCGAGTTATTTAACTGCTCTGTACCCCTCTTTGCTTACCTTTACGTTTTTAAAGTTGGGCAATAATGGTCTGTCATAAGGTGTTAAGGATAATAAATGAGTTAGGATGTAAGTTCTCAGAATAGTACCTGGGACCTAGTATAGGCTACTAAGTGTTAGCTCTTAATAAGCTTGATAACTTTAAAAAAATATTTCCATACTTCATTTAAGACGGTACAGATATTTTGGTCTTTAGAAGGCATCAGCGTAATTTTGGTGCTTTGTTCCCAGAATTTTTGTTCACACTTTGTGAGAAATACAAAATATTTTCCAAATCTATTACCTGGACCGCCCCTTACTTTATGCTAGTGTAGTTTGCCAAATTTTCACATTTGTGAGAATGATAAAAAAATTTTTTTAAGATTTATTTATTTTAGAGAGGGAGCACAAGTGGGAGAGGGAGAGAATCCCAAGTAGACTCCCCACTGAGTGCAGAGCCTGACAACGGGGCTCCATCTCACGACCCTGAGATCTTGACCTGAGCTGAAACCAAGAATCAGACACTTAACAGACTGCACCACCCAGGTGCCCCGAGAATGATAAAATTATTAAAAACTGGTTTTCTTGCTAAAAATTCACCCTGAATAAAAACAAATGTCTTCAATATTTGAGGCCCATTCAATGAGGCAGCTATTGTTATTGAAAGTGACAGGGTTGTGTGTAAAAGATACCAAAGGATAGTTGAAATTAATTGTTCTACACCTGGTCAGTTTTTTTTTTTAATAATTGTAGATCTCTCAGTATTATATATAAATCTCAAAACTTGTCAGTCTCACCTTTTTCTTTAAAATGAGATTGTAAAAATGGAAATCTATTCTCTAAAAAGCATTACCAATTTTATATCTCATCTCTAAAGAATTAACTCCCCTCCCCCTACAGAAAAGTACTATCACTGCACTTTTGATATCAAACTAATATGAGAATTTCAGCAGATCAGAATATAAAGCATCTCATTTTAGAGATCCAAATAAAATCAAATCACAATATATAGAGTATTTAAGAATATTAAGCTATCTTTAGGAGGTGTTAAATGCTAAATGAAACGTAACCCAGTGCAGCATAATACTGAATTAACAAATCTAAATCCAAGGCAGAAAATACAAGCATAGGAGTTTAATAGTATTAGTCATGTAGTGATAATTCATTGAAGTGGAAAGGCCTTTCTAAACACACAAAACCCCAGAATTACAAGGGAAAATTCGATAAATCTGAATACATAAAAAAAAACTTTATGACAAAACTTTTTTAGCTCTTATAAATGACAAACTGAGGATACTATTCGCATTATATGAAATTGAATAAAAGTTTTACTCTCGTTAAGAAAAATGTATACTCCTAGAGAAAAATGGGTCCAGGATAAGCAGTTCCCAATAAATGAAATGCAAATGGTCAGTATGCAAAACAAAAATAACTCAGCCTCATTTATAATGAAAGAAATGCAGTCAGAACAAAATTTCAGTTATCAGATTGGTGAAGAGTTCAACATTCATATAAAAACTAGTTTGTCAAAGGTGTGGGGAAATGAGTAAAGTTATACAATTTTGGTGTGCTGTCACTTCTGTGTAAAGGCTTTTGGCACTAGCTATTGAAATTCATCATACACCTTTTGACTCAGAATTCTAAGAATTTTACCTAGAGACATAGTTGTACTTGTTCAAAGACTATGGGAAAGGATTTTCATTGCAGCATTGTTGGTAATAACAAAATAGTTAATCTAAATATCTGTTAAAAGGGAATCTGTTCTTTTATTAGCTTTAGACATACAATAACTTTTTTTGAAAAGAAAGAATTAATTTTGGTGCTGTAGAAAGAACTCAGAAAACCTTTGAAGTGAGAAAACATTGAAGCGGTAGTAATTTTGAAACGATAGGGACAGGTTAGGAATTCTCAACAACACTATTGACGTTTTGGACTGGGTAATTCTTGGGGAGGTGGGGGGTGCTGTTCTGTGAATTGTAGGATTTTTAGCAGTGTCCTTGTCTTCTACCCATTGCATATCCATTAGCACCCTTCTTCCCCCTTTTGTGATTGCTAAAAATGTCTCTAGATACTTAGATATTACCAAATGCCTGGTGTGGGGGTAGGGAGGTGGGGTTGGTGCAAAATCTGATCCTTGTTAAGAATCACTGAGATCAACAATAGACCAATAGCACAGAATAGAAAGTCCAGAAACAGTGCACCCATGTATATAGAGAAACCTGATGTGTTTCAGAGTTAGCATTGAAGTATATTCATTGAGGTAAATATAGACTATTCAGGTAATGGTGATTTAGTTGTATGGAAAATATACTGGATCCCTAACTACCAGTATATAAACAATTCTAAGTGGCCTAATACCTAAATGTGAAAAGCAGAACTTTAAAATTTTTAGAAGAAAATATATGAGAATACAGAGGTTTTTGGTTTTTAGAGTAAGGGAGAAATTCTTTAAAAATATATGAAAGTCGGGATGCCTAGGTGGCTCATTCGGTTAAGCATCTGCCTTCAGCTCAGGTCATGATCCCTGGGTCCTGGGATGGAGTCCTGCATCAGGCTCCTTGCTCAGCAGGGAGCCTGTTTCTCCCTCTGCCTGCCCCTCCCCCTGCTTGTGCGATCTCCTCTCTCTCTGACAAATACATTTAAAAATATATGAAAGTCAGGGCGCCTGGGTAGCTCAGTTCGTTAAGCCTCGGACTCTTGATTTTGGTTCAGGTCATGATCTCCGGGTTCTGAGATTGAGCCCTGCATCAGGCTCCGTGCTGGGTGTGGAGCCTCCTTAAGAGTCTCTCTCTCCCTTTCCCACTGTCCCTCTACTCCTCAAAAAAGAACACATACACACACACGTACATATACATATATTTGAAAGTAAATTTATAAATAAAGATTGATAAATCCAACAACATTAAAATTAAAAACGTAAAAAATAAAAAACGTGAAAAGACCAGCCACATACCTGGAGAAGATACTTGCAGTACAGGTAACTGACAAAGAATTTGTAGTCAGATTATTTTTAAGTGTCTACAACTCAAGAAGGAAAAACAACTCCATAGATGAATGGGCAAAAGATAAATTGGCAATTCAGAGGAAGAAACATGAATGGCCAATAAATTGGAAGATACCTTCTTTGATAAGTAATCAGAAATGCATTTTTTTTTTTTA